GGCACGGGGGATGGGGGACCCCGGCTGGGTTAGGAGGAGGCCGTGGGTGCGGGGGACCAGGCTCCCGGCCTGGTTAGGAGTTGGCCATGGGTGCAGGGGACGGGGACCCCGGCCTGGTTAGGAGGAGGCTCCCGGGACGCGGGCGTTGGGTGCCGACGCCAGACCCAGCGCAGCCCGCCCTCCACGTGTCCCTCCAGCTCTCCCCAGGGACTTGCTTCCTTTCTGGTCCCTGATAGTTGCACGAGGGTCATCGTAAGAACTAAGTGACTCACCACAGTCGCGGTACTCGGGACGAGGCCTGGGACACGGTGGTTCGTACTTTTGAGGGACGAGGGCATAGCCATAGCACACTGAGGGAGACCGTACGGCCTGGAAGGAGATTGCGGGTTCCCGGTTCAAATCCCGGCTACTCTGTGTCCCCCTCGACTGGGCCAACGCACACACAATACGCGGGGTGGGACCTACCGGCAGTCGCCCGCGGAGCCAGCTCGTGTAGTGTGGACCATGACTGCCATTACGCTCGTCTGCTGAACGACAGCCAGGTCGGGCTGACTGGCTGTCCCCGTTTCCCCGGATCTGTAGTGGCTGTAGGACCTTATGTGCCGGGACTCCCTCGGACGGGGCAGACGGAAACGTAAAATCGCCTCGTTTCCACCATCTCGACACCCCCTGCCTTACACAGACAGAAACGGGGATTCCGGGATGGCACGAAATTCGCCCGGATGACACGGTGGCCCCAGGACCTGAAGCCACCCCGCTTCCTGTCCGGCATCTTTGCTGGGAAGCGGCTGGTTCCTGCCGGAAGGCTGGCTCGTGGTCGCCTGAGCTCATCCCCTCCCCGTTTCCCAGTTGTGTTCTGTGCTCACTGTGTGTACTTACACTAGCCTCACGACTAGCCCGTGGTGTCCGGACGGGGGAGGAGGCGGGGATTGCCTCCCGGGAGGGCCCGTGAGCCACCGTCACCCTGGGGACACCGGGGCCAGTCGTGTCGAGTGAGTGGCCGTGGCCACAGCGACGCCACCTACCCTCTTTCGCCTTCCTCTTCTGAGCGTGTGGACGGAGAGACGCAAAGCCTCCCGTCCCTCCACCCACGTGCCCTCGGGCCGGTGCTGGGCACCCGGCCCCGTGACCCTGTGACTGGAACCAAGCTGGGAGCATCGGGGCAGCTGGGTCCAGGCAGAGGCTCCCGGGAGCACAGCCCCCCAGGCCCACATGGCGGGCTGTCCCGGGGCCCGCGGCACCGCCGCGGGGGGGGCCGCCAGGAGAGACCGCTGCCCTCTCACCGGGTCCCTACCCCCTGCTTCCCCGGAACCGTCTTCAGACCCTCATCCTCTTCCCACGGCAGGTGGGGGTGGCTGGAGGCTGGAGACGCCGGGCCGCCGGTGCCCGGTGCCGACTGCCATCTGGGTGATGCGCAAAGCGACGGCTCGGGGCTCTGGTCCTGTGCGTGTGTGGCCGAGGCCCCCCGAGGCCCCTCCAAGGACTCAATACAAATAATACTAATAATAGCAATACGATGATGGCGGTGGTGATGATGAATTGCATATTACACAGTGCTTCATACTGTGCATTATGCTACGTACACATGTGCCTAACCTTCAGCACGACCCTACCGCGAGGCCGCCGTGGGGGGACCTACCCGGGCTGTCGTCTCCTGTCGCGTTCCGTATTTCTGCTCACGTGGAAACTACTGCAAAGTAAAATCACGTGGCTTTTTTTTTTTTTTTTTTAGCCATGAAAAAGCTGGAGTGAGTTCAGGGAAGAGTGATAAAGAAGGGAGTTCTGGAAGAAGCCAGAGGAAGGCTGCCTTGCTGAACTGACCAGGTGACAGGGACGGGAGTGGCCCCCAAGGTGAGGGCTGTGCAGTCAGGGCAGGACTCAAGGCACTTGAACTCGGTTAAGAACACAGGCTGGCAGGGGCGCCTGGGGGCCTCAGTCGGTCGAGCGACCGACTTCGGCTCAGGTCACGATCTCGCGGTTTATGGGTTTGAGCCCCGCGTCCGGCTCCGCGCTGGAGGTGTAGAGCCTGCTTGGGATTCTCACACGCTCTCTCTGTGTCCCTCTCTCTCTCTCTCTCTCCCTCCCTCAAAATAAATAAATAAATAAATAAACTTAAAAACAAACCCCACAGGCTGGCGTGGGGGTCTGCACTCCGGGTAGAGCACAGGGTGGCTGAGCCAGAGCCCCCGAGATGCTGTTCCACGCTGTGATTCTGGACGTGGATGAGGGCACAGTCCAAGGACGCCGTAACCCGGAGGGGTCTCAAGGGCCAGCAAAGAAAGGGCAACTTCCAGAACATTCCCTCTGTTCCCTCGCTGGAGCACAGGCAGAAGGTGCCTGGAATAATTTGTAATCTACAGTTTTCTTACCCGTCCCCGGGTTTTCCCCTTTTTCGTTAATAACAGAACAGGGATGAGTAATTTTATCTGACTTCATAATGACATCAACTGGTCCTCCTCCTAAGAACCCTTGTCTGCCGACCGCCCTTCAGGGAAGTCTGTTTGTATTTATGTCTCATTTATTCTCCCCCCTGTGGCTTGTGGCTTTCCGGGAGAGAAGTCAATTCTGCTTTAGGGGAGGATGGAAAATTCGGTTGTTCAATCGCTTCCTCTCCTTTTTTCCAAGACGAGTTTTTCAATCACACGTTAGGGACGGTCGTCACGGGAGAAACACGAGGCCTGCGGTCTTCGTGCCTCGCCACTTTCTGTGGGTAACTTTTTGAGTCGTTCTTACCTGGGGTTTATTTTAACACCATCGACCTCCTCTGCCGTTAGGGTCACCTCGCCAGAGCGTCCGCGTTCGTGGGTCCCTCAGCTCTTCACAAACAGACCCCCACCGCTCCCTTTGTCACTCTGCATCACGCGCGGCTGCTTTGGGGATATTGACTGATTATCCTCGGCTGGGGTCGTGGGGCTCCCTCCCACCACCGGGCCTTTGCACGTGCCTCTGGCTTTGCCAAGAGTGCCTTTCCTTTCACTCTGGGCCTCCGTGGATTAAGCACAAGACCGGCCCTGCCCCCTTCTCCCGGAAACCTTCACAAGCCCCTCCTTGAGGTGGTGACGCGTCCCTCCTCTGGCTGTGGCAGTCTCTGTTCACCTCTGTCACACACTGTGGCGACCCGTGCTTGTGGGAACTGTACAGAGGGGGACTCTGGCTTTGTCTTATTCATCCTTGTAGCCCACGGCCTTTATGTTGTGCAGGGCAAGGAACCCAACAACCATGACTCAATAAATACCTATTAATGAAATACAAATATCCAAGGAATCAATTTGCTACGTCACCTTCTCCGGGAAGACTTCTGTGATCCTTCCAACCTGGGAGGCTTTTCCCCACACGGGCTTCCTTCCCATTCTGTCTGTGCCTCCTTCTTCCCCCGACCCCTTTCTCCTTTTCTGTTCCACGGCAGGTAGCCGGGCACTTAGGAAGTGCTCAGTAAGCGGTCACTGAGTGACAGTTAGTGGAAAACTGAACTGATTTTGTTTACAGCAGCGTGGAAAGAATCTTTCTGGGATATTCCGGGTACTGGCATCTTTTCTTTTTTTTTTTTTTTTTTTTTTTTTTTTTTTTGTCCTTACATTGTCAAAACCGATATTCCAAATGTCCCCTAATATTCCACAGAACAGCATCAATTCTGAGACCCGATCGCCTGTCTGGGTAATGTATTTACCTTTCACTGGTTGTCCAGGCTCACGGCATTTGCTAGTTATTGTTGTCTGTCGTTGTTGTCTTGAGGCCCGTAGAATTTTCGGAGCCTAGAATGTGAGGGTCGGTCGCCAGGAGCCCTGAAAGGTCGCCTGGTGTTTTTCAGGCCACCTCATGTTATAGACCAGGAAACCAAGGTCTAGAAAACCAGAATATTTCATGAGGACAAGTCAGAGGCCAATGAAGCGGGTCTCATCTGTCCTCACCTTCTACGCACAGACATGCGCTCTGCTGAAGCCTTAATCGAGGCCACCGCATCTCATATGAAGGGACCCGGTGGCTTGGGAAGCCTTCAAGAGTGGGTCCAGGAGGGAGACCTGGCTTCCTGTGGGGCCGCAAAGCCCACCCTCTCAGGGCTCTCAGCCAGCCCGGGATACTGGTCTGTGCTCCACGCGGGGCACCCAGGAGCCTTGGGAAACACTCGGCCCCGCTACACCCTTGATCTGATCCTAATACCCAACCCCCCCGCCCCGCTGTCGTGCCTGACTCGGTAGAAGAATCTTCCAGAGATGCGGGAACGTTGCGTGTTAGGAAGGACCGTTCAGAAAACACGTATAGAATTCAGGAAGCTTCACCGCTACTGTTTTCGCCGGGTTGGAAGGTCCATGAGGATGACGGCCTGACCCCATCGCGTCCCAGCACCGGTGATGGCACCTAGTAAAATACCACCCAGCGCATATTTGTTGCGTTGGAATTAAGTTAAGAATGTGCACTTCACCAACTTGTTGCTCAAAACTGGAATGACGCAGGGGCGCCCAGGGAGGCTCAGTCAGTTAAGGGCTGGCTCTTGATTTCGGCTCAGGTCATGATCTCATGGTTTGTGAGTTCGAGCCCCGCATCGGGCTCTCCACGGACAGCACAGAGCCTGCTTGGGATTCTCTCTCTCTCTTTCTCTGTCTGGCCCTCCCCGGCTCACGATCTCCCCCGCCCCACCCCCCCCAAATAAATAAACATTAAAAAAATGATGATACAAAGACCCCCATGCTAGGGTGCTACATAACTCAGTAAAGGAAGATAAACATACGGGAGAAAAAATATAAAAACCTGAGAAGGAAGAATATAAAGCAGCCTGAGAGTAGGAACCAGCAGGGATGGGGGTACCGGGGAAACTGGCTCGTATCTATTAGGTTTCTTTCTTTCTTTTTAAAAAAAATTTTTTTAAGGTTTGTTTATTTTTGAGAGAGAGACAGAGCATGAGCATGAGCATGAGCAGGGGAGGGTCAGAGAGAGGGAGACACAGAATCCGAAGCAGGCTCCAGGCTCCGAGCTGTGAGCACAGAGCCCGATGCGGGGCTCAAACCCATGAACTGTGAGATCATGACCTGAGCGGAAGTCGGACACTCAACCGACTGAACCACCCAGGGGTCCCTATTAGACTTTACTCCTAATAAGAAAGAAAGAAAGAAAGAAAGAAAGAAAGAAGAAAGGAAAAGAAAAGAAAAGAAAAGAAAAGAAAAGAAAAGAAAAGAAAGGAAAATTAGAGAAGTAAAGCAAATACGACAAAATGTATTTATTCTGTGTGGTGGGCACAGGGGTGCTATATTCACCTCTGTGGTTTTCTGGGGGGTTAAGACATGTTATAATACTGCAACTGTGTGATGAAAGCACGTTAGTTTTACTCTTGGCCCCGGGGTCAGGGTTTCCAAGACCGTTCTCAGGTTCAATGATTCAGAGGGACGCACGGAATGCAGAAAAGCGGCTTTCCCTACGGCGTGGGGAGGCAAAAGGACGGGGGAGGGGGGATCAACAAAAGACAGGAGTACGTGGGACAGCGTCCGGGAGACGAGGCATCAGTGTCCGGTTGTCCTCTCCGGGGGGTCGTACAGGAGGCCCTTAACGCTCTCAGAGATGAGGCGTGACAGGTGACATCAGGCACCCCGGCCAGGGAAGTCCACCTGAGTCCTGCCGTCCGGGGTTTAGCAGGGGTCAGTGATGGGGCCATGGAGCCCCTCCACGGCTGACCTAGGCTATAGTCCCTGGGCCTCCAGGGCTCCAAGAGATACGGTGTGGCCAGAGGCCCTCCTCATAAATCACGTTGTCAACATTAAGCTATCTGGTGTGGTCCAAGGTCCCAGGTATGCAAAGATACTGTTATCAGGCAGAACATTCCAGGGACTCCTACATCAGGTCATGCCACACTGAGAAGGGCCGGGCCCTTCTCTGGAATGTGCAAGATTGCACCTCGTAAGCCTGCGGAGTTAACCCTTTGCTGCACAGCCAAAGAGAGACGTGAGGCCTCCACCTGGATCTGGAAAGGATCCTGTGACCCTCAGGCAACCACCTGTCTCCAGGCTACAGAAAGTCTGGAGACACTGGGGTGTCTGGTGAACCTCCCCTCACTCCAAACCCAGGAAAATGGTCTCCGGAGGGACAGGTGGAGAGCTAGGCTTGTGTCTTCTCAAGTGCCAGAAACCAAGGGACTGATGCTAGATTCGCACCTGGGAGATCTAACGTGGGAACCCCTGGCGTGGCTGCTCTGGCCCCAGAGCTTTGGGACCTCGGCACGTGCCTGGGTTGTCCTGGGACCAAAACACAGGGGCGTGTTTCTGGCGGCTGGAGGGAGGGAGCCCACTGAGGACTTTCTTAGGTCCTGGCCAAGGTGAGTCCAACAGGGGGCTGGACCACAGGGTTCTCAGAGGCTCGGGAAAGAGCTGTAAGCAACAAGTCAGAAGAAAACACATCAACCCAGAAATGGGAAGTGGAAGGTTTGGGAAGGACCCTTTTATTTTTTTTAATTTATTTATTTTGAGAGAGGGGCAGAGAGAGAGGGAGCGAGAGAATCCCAAGCAGGCTCCGTGCTGACGTGGGGCTCGAACTCACGGACCGTGAGATTGGGACCAGAGCTGAAACCAGGAGTTGGACGCACAACCGACTGAGCCCCCCGGGCGCCCCCGAGGAACCTTTTGAAATGCCACGGAAGGGGCAAGAGTAAACATCCCACCCTGCTACGCCCAGGGAAAGAGGAGGCCAACCCACGAGTCATCCGTGGGGAGATTTCCCGTCTGTTTTCTGCCCTCTGGAGAGCCAGAGACCCGTGCACAAGACCTGTGGGGAAAAGCAGGAGAACAGGGTCGGGGGAAACACCCCGTCTGGTTCAAAGCTGGGGAAGGAGGGACACCCTCAACCGCGAAAGCAGAAGTTCTAATTGTTAAGGACACCGCGGATCGTAATTACGGCGTGGGGACTGTCCTGGAGGACAGAGTGACAAGAGCAACTTTTGGGCTCCTTTTCCCCACTCTGTGCTCCGGTTCTAGTATTTTCTATTGATCTGTCTTCACCTGCACTTAATTCTGTTCCCTGCTGTGCCCTTCTCCTGTAAGGCATTCTATTAAGTACCTAACTTCAGATGTTAGGTTTCATATTTCTAGAATGTTCTTTTTTTTAAGTTGTTTAATATGTATTTTATTTTTGAAAGAGAGAGAGAGAGAGAGAGACAGAGCACGAGCGGGGGAGGGGCAGAGAGAGAGGGAGACACAGAATCTGAAGCAGGTTCCAGGCCCCGAGCTGTCAGCACAGAGCCCAACGTGGGGCTCGAACCCACAACTGTGAGCTCATGACTTGAGCCGAGGTCGAACTTAACTGACTGAGCCACCCAGGCCCCCCAAAAATGTTCTTTAAAAATATATTTTAGGGGTGCCTGGGTGGCTCAGTTGGTTGAGCGTCTGACTCTTGATTTGGGCACAGGTCATGATCTCACAGTTCGTGGGAGTGAGCCTGGCATCGGGCTCTGTGCTGACATGTGGATGCTGCTTGGGATTCTCTCTCTCTCTCTCTCTCTCTCTCTCTCCCTCTCTCTCTCAAAATAAATAAATAAACATGAAACAAATTTAAATATGCATTTGAGTTTCCTATCGAAATGTCCATTCTTTTCACCCATTTTCCCTCTATTTTCCCAAAAACACGAATCAAAAGAAGTCCCCGTCTCCTACCACGTCCCACATCGGGGTCGTCTCAGACTCCACAGCTACTGACCGTTTCATTTCTTAAGCACTGGCTTCCTTTGCGTGTCTAATATTGTATCATGTGCAAATATTGGACAGGGCAGATTACAGGGGCTCCGGATCTTCAGATTCCTCTAGAGAGTGTCTGGATTTGGTCTTGCACACAGCATGGTGGCAGAGGGATTGCCTTGGTCGTGCTGAGACGCGAGCATTGGTTTCGGCTGTGTGAGGACAGGTCTTTGCAGTTGTACCCAGCTGCTGGGGCGCAGCCCTTCCTGCTACTGTGTGGTCCTTGCTTCCAGGGCGTGGGCTTTCTGAAGTCTCGGTCAGGGGCTCAGGGGCTACCCAAGCGTGTCTGCTCTGGCTGCTTCCGACCTCTTCAGGTCTGCACGGTCTCTGAGGTCTTTCTCAGCTCTGCAGCCCCCTGCCGACCCGGGGTCTCACCCTACCCCTGCACAGGGCAGGGTTCGGCCCAAGATGTGACGGGAACATGTTGGGGTTTTTTTGCAGATTTTTTTTACTCCTTATCTGAGGCTCTGTTCTCACAGGTGCACTGACCCACAGCCCAGCAGCCCGGGCAGCCCCAGGCCCCGGTCTGCGAGGCAAGACTGCTCTCCGCGTGCGCCATGGTCTGGAGATAATTTGTGAGCCCCAGCTCAACCCTCCGATGTTCCCTGCTGCCCACCTCCGTGCGGAGCCCACAGAAGGCAGAGAGAGACTGGAGGGTGAATCACATCCCAGGATGCTCGGTTATTCCAGAACGACAGCAAGCCAGGCTCAGGGAGGAAGTACGTGTGACGAGAGTGGTTTTCATGTGGCGGGCTATCAGGATACTGGACTCTGGCATCGGGAACGTAGGAAGATCTGA